TGGAGGAGCCGCAACCGCCGCAGGAGGGGGCAGGTGCGCTGCCACCGCAGGGGGACGGCAGGCTGAAGCTAGGCAGGAAGATGGGCAGTGCTGGGGGGCCATGGCACGCGGGTGGGGCCGGGGGGCCGCAAGGGCGGAGACATCCAGCCTGGAAAGACGCATGAAGATAATCAATGGATTATTGTGTACAGTTACGTTCGTTAAACTTGATTTCCTAAATCAGCCTTTTTTTACGGCTATAATCAAAATCAAAATCTCACCTCACTCAGGCCCACGACGGCGGCGGCCACGATCAGGATAACTGAGACGGCCCTCATGGTGTCGAGAGAGATCTGCTTCCCCTCCGGACAGTTTGATCGGATGTGATGCACCGGTGCTGGCCGCATAGCGTTTTATAGCGCTTCCCGCTTTTCGGCCCATCGATACGGACTCGGCCCAGGTTGCGTCCGGAGGAGGCCCACCCTCGTCGGCTGTCGCCATCTGGGGCTCCAGCGGAAAAGAAGAGCGCACACCGATGTGCCCATTTCGGACGCCGTACGTCAGCCAGCGTCGATCGCACCTACCGGCGTGCGGTCTGTTTGTAAACAGCGCCCGCGTGACAAGGCCCTCGAACGGGCGTGTATGGAATTTTGGAATTTCCAGAAACTTGGAATTGTGACGTGGATTGTTTCACGTTTCAAGTTGCACTTGGCCGCTTTCAAGGTCACACGCCGTTGCACTGCACTGTCACTCTCTAGTAGTGGTACGCATAAAATATTGATTTCTCTTCATCCTTTTCATATGACGTTAGGAGAGAAGATTAGGACCATATCGTTAAGTTCCGTAAAAATTTTATTAAATGTATATTGACAACACAAGTGCTTTGTCAGCTTTGTACCAAAATCAACAATCAGCTGCTACGAGGTAAAAAAAATAATAATCAAAAAAACAAGATTAGAAAGGAATAAGTTAGTCATCAGGTCGCTTCGAAGCTCAGCAGGTCCAGGTGGGCCCCGGAGGGGCGGGGGTGGGCGCGCCGGGGACGTGCAGGACGGGCGGCGGGCATAGCTGGCAGGGCAGGCCGGGGGCGGGCGCGTAGAGCTGCACGTGCTGCCCCCAGGGCGCGGGGGCGGGGGCGGCGGGGCCCGAGGCCGCCGGCGACCCCCAGACGGGGTGCTGCTGTTGCTGCTGAGGCACGAGGCGGAGCCCCCAGAGGGCTGCCGGGAGAGGCGCGGGGAAGCGCTGCTGCTGCGGGGGCGGGGCGGGCCACGCGGCGGGGGCCATGACGTGCAGGGGCGGCAGCGGCGCGCGCAGCATCACGTGCCTCTTGTGGGGCGCGGCGGGCGCGGGGGCGGCGGGGCGCAGGTGCAGCGCGCAGCCCACGAACTGCTTCCAGGCGGGCGCGACCGCGCCGTGGTCGTACCTCGGCCGGAAGTTGTTCCTCCGAGGCTGCACCGTCGTCGGCCTGCGATGGCGGGCGTGAGCAGCGTCGCCCTTCCCTGCGGACTCCTCGTGGAGGAGGCCGCCGTCGTCGTTGAGGGGCTGCTGGTGCTCCGCGGACCGGGTGTGGACGGCGGACGTATCGGGAGCCGCCAGGATATGGGTCGGCGTCTCGGCGTGGACGGCGTCACCGAGGAGCTGATTCAACGGCACGGTGGCGTCTGACGCACTGCTCACGTCCAGGACGCCGTCGACAACGACCCTCCCTGCTTCGGGGTACGACTCGCTCAGGTGGTCACCGGCAGGATTCGCGTGGCTGCTCCCATCCACGTCCATTGGCGGTGGGCCTGCGTCGATCTCCAGACTGTCCCCGTCGTTCGCGTCTGCCACGCGGGCCGCGGACTCCATGGCGGCGATCTGGTCGGGCGGGGCGGATGAGCTCTGCAAGGGAAGGAAAGGAAGCGGCGCTGTAAGGACCTCAGTTTCATCGGTTTCATAGGAGGATGGGAGGACACGGGAAGGGGAGACATAGCGTTGTTACGTTGCGAACGGGCGAAGGCTTTTCTTCACCAGTTGCCACCCCCTCCCCATAGCTACGCCGCTGCCGCTGCATACGTCGGCCAATGGCGTCAGCATCGCGCGGCCCGCGTACGAAAACACGCGTGAGAGGGAGAGAGACGGGGCGCACGACGCAGCACTTCTCCACCCCTGCGCCCCTCGGGTGGGAGTGCGACAGAGCGCTGCGTTACTCACCCCGTTGCGAGCGGTGGCGGCGGCGGTGGCGGCGAAGGCGGGGGCGACGGGGGCGACGACCTGCTGCTTCGCGGGGACGGGCGTGGCGGCGGGCGGCGGCGGCGACGACGGAGGGGCGGTGGCCAGGCGGACGGTCAGGGCGACGAGCGCGAGCAGTGTCACCGCCGCGACGACTATCAAGGTTGTGCGCGTCAGGGCCGCCGCCCCGGGGCAGAGCCGGCAGAGCGCGCCGCACGGCCCGCGGCCCGAGTCGCCCGCCGCCGCGCCCGCAGCGCCGCCCGACTCGAGCAGGTCGAGCGCCGGCCGGGCCGCCAGCCCCGCCACCGCCAAGGTGGCCGCGAGCCTCGCCGCCGCGGCCGACGGCGGCCCCTTGCACGCGCACAGCGGGCGCAGGCACGTGTGCGGCGGGGTCATCTGATCATTCAGTCGAGCTACTGCAAAACAAAAATAGAAAACAGAAAAAAAATCAACATTTAACGACATACACTCAGTAGCGTGCCTCAGTAACACGCACCCCCAAAACACGATTATCCTTCAAGTCCTTACCTTTTTCAGCGGCGAATACTCGACCCAACAACACGTGGAGCGTCGATGCTCCCGGCGGCCGCCAGCATTTCCAACAAGCGACTCACACAAATCCAGGGCAAACCGGTCGGCAGGCGCCCTGCCCAGTGGCCGCCGGCCGCCGGGGACTTGTACGCCGTGCTTAGCTAAGCACCGAGGCGCCCCCCAAACCGAGCAGAATTTAGAAAGGTGCTCGGGACTCGGCTCGGTGGAATACCAGCGAACGTCATTTTCGCCCGCGCGGTGCGAATGGACATGGAATGCTACGGCGCGGTATTTAAAAGCGTTGAAAGGACAGTCCAGGACTGTACGGTACGTCCCACGGCCCTCTACTATTGATTGAATGAGTAGTGTTGCTGCACGGGGGGCGTGCTTGCATACCGTCGCTCATTCGAGGGGCGCCTTACGGCCCCGTGCGGGTATGCAACCCATACGTACGGCTGCCATCCGGGACAGTATTGAGAAGGAAAGACCAGGAAAGACTGGCGGAAGGGGCGGACTGGGGCTGGGGCGTCAGGGGCCCGGCGGGGGTTTTGCCTACATACAGTTGACAGGGGCAAAACGCCTTGAAGGGCCTCGTAGGCCCCGATTGATACCTTTACAGTCCCCCCCCCCCCACCTCCCTGGCCAGTGGGCTGCCCCACAGGCCGCATCCGTGAGGCTTACCCAGTGCGGTGCGGAGCCGGCCGCGCGTCTAAGTCTCAGCCGGAGAGACACACTAAGGTAGGCAATTCACGGCCCATTACTCTGAATGCAGGCAATCTTTAGCCTCAGCCCTTTCTCGCCCTGGGACATCTGGCCCCAAATTGAGCCGGAGATAAGCATCAGCAGAAAAACGTCATATAGGAGCTAGTAGAACTCGGGTAAACCCAGGGAAACGGATAATAATGCAAATTTCAGCGTACCACCAAACTCACAGGAGTCAAACGAGACGTCGAAAACTGAGTCAGCTGCAGATGTGGGCCGCGTGGCGCCACCACCGCACCCTACTCTCTCACATCTGCGCAAGATGCTGACCGGGGTCCATTTTCTCCTTTTACGAAATTGTAAACACCTGCCTTTGTCTTATGTGTTGGGGTCAGCATCTCTGAGATGAGTATAAAACGCGAGCCTGGCCCAGTGGGTGGTCATTCGTAACATGTCCAGCACTTCGACCACCGACTCGCATCGCAAATAACCAGCAGGTATGTAGCGCCGTGGCACAATGAAGAACCTAGGGCCGGGGGGGGGGGGCTAACAGTGATTATGCTTTGGAGCAACGAACGATCCAATGGCCACAGGTATAGAATGATATGTGATTTCTCAGTTCTTACCCCTATGTTTTGTTTTCCTGCATCCAGGATGCTGCACCCAAAGGACTCCAGAGAGTAGCCGCCGGGGGAGGCCCCCCGAAATCTCTCGAGCCGCATATCGCGGCCTGGGCCCGACAACGACGGTGCAGCACCACGAACGATGATGACGCCATCGGCCGCAGGCCACAGGGCCGCCGCTACAGGAGCGTGGGGGACAGCGCACAGCCCCTCGAGGAGCACCAGGCAACCAGGCGGAGCAGCTGCCTGACGACGACCGTCATGACAGCCGTCTTCTGTTTCATCTCGAGCGGTCATCATCGAAGTCAGCACCGTTATCATCTCATCATTATCATCATCTCATCATCATATCATCATCATCATCATCATCATCATCTCATCATCATCATAATTCTCATGGTCATTATCCTCATGCCATCATCATCGCATTATTTTCACAGACCATTTTCACCTCTTAAATCAGTGTCTCTCATCCATTCGACCATCCCCGACTCGCCCCACTCTCATCTTTTTCATCTCATTCATTATCACCAAAATCATCCCCGACTTTTCTTCATTCAATTAATTGCACTATCATTATCAAATCCAAATTTAAAAACAGCAGAACTTTGGAAATTGTTTTTAAAATTTTTCGAAAAAATTAATCTAAGATGCTCTGATGTTTGATTTCATCTAGTCCTTATAATGATATGTTTGTGTCTCGGTGTGCTTCAACCCCTCATCAAAATAAAAGAAATTTGAAAAGTTACGGCTATACTGTTGTTCTGTACCTTTCGATAGCTCACGTCCATACTGTCAGTTGGGAGATACAGGATTGCACGCATTTAAAACGACACAAGTAAAAACTGGCACACAAATTTATTGTTATCATTTTTTTCAAATAAATAGGTTACTCTTCTTTGGGTTTCATATGGCGTTGAAAGAGGATGGCAACGACTATGCAGACGGCGAGCTGCACGAACACCACGCCGGCCACCGCGGTGGAGCTGAGGCCCGAGCCGCAGCAAGTGCCCGAGGCCGAGGGGGTGGCGGCGGGGGCGGAGCAGGCGGCGGGAGCTCCGACGCTGGGGTTGGGGCAGGTCGCGGGGCCGGCAAAGGGGTCGACGTCGACCTCCTGGGCGAAGGCGGCTCCCAACAACTGTGGCAGAGAAATGATAGGAAACTACATATATATGAGGTTGGCCCACAAAAGTAACATTTCAAGTAAAACAAAACGAGGAAATCAGTGCACTGCATGAGCGCCTGCGGTCAACCAACCCACCACCAGTCTACAATCTCAAGTAAACAAAACGCAAAGTCTTACCGTCAGATATAGACAGAGTAGAGCGAGCGCTGCCATGCTTTCGGTGGTCCGCGGCACAAAAGGCCGCCGGCCGCCCAGCCGTTGCCTTTATACGCCTCCGATAGGCCGCCGATGTTGGACGCGCACCGCGGAGACGGAGTGGACACCCGCGCATACCGTCCCGCCACACACGCGGCCACACAAGTAGCCGGATGCGTTAAGGCATCGTGAACATACGCTCCCCCGAGGAGACGAGGGGTACAAATATCATGCCCCCTGCCCCCCCCCCTCAATTTAGCTTAAGACAAACATCACAGCTCATTGGGGAGGGGTGGGGCATTATATTTGTACCTTAGGTCCCGTAGTGAGATCGAATGGTGGTCCTGAACCTGAAGGGGTCATGGTATTTGTATTCCCCACTAGGGAGGGGCAACGGGAGGAGGGAAGGGGCGGGGTAGTACGCGCACGTAGTAGTATGGGCGAGCTGCCTGCATGACGCACGGTACGAGTCCATCTCGAGGCGAGGGAGACCGGGCGCGTCGAGGCCGCCTCCAGGCTTACCAGGCCACCAGGCCGACACCTGAGCAGGGGGTTTCCTTCGCACTACGAGGGGGTCAAGCTCGCGCACCGCTGTCACCGCCGCTACCACCACCACCTCCTTCGGCCAGGCCCCGACAACCGACACACGAGGGGAGTGCGAGGGTGTTGATGTTGATGTTCTCGACGACGGATCTATAAAACCTGGAGCGTCTTTGGGCGCGGCGTTAGAAGTCGCCATGGATCCGTCCGCCTCCGCCGCTCTGACCGTGGCCTTGTTATTTCTGCTTGGCTGCAGCGCGGCCCCCCCGCTCCCGGCCCCGCCCCCGCCGTCCGTCCCGTCCGTAAGTAGCACGCGCATCGGCATTCAGCGAAAGGGGACCCGCCCACCCGCCCTAAGGGGGACGGGCCTCAATCACTAAGTTTTATTTCAGGTTGTTTTTTTTCAGTGTTTTTTTTTGTGAGTCTTTTTTTTTTTTCAAAATTGTACCCATTGTCATCAGTGTTTTCGTTTTCAGCCAGTAAGCGAAACATCCACCCCGACCGCGTCTGTTCTGCCCAATGCCGAGGTAAAGTCATTTTACATCTTTTTCTAAAGTTTTATTGATTTTGCACATACACTGCGAGCGTCATTTGTTATTCACGGCTGGTGCCCCCGCAGCCCGTCGTGGTGTTCGGCTCCGGTCGCAGCCTGCCCGTGTCGGCGCACCGCCGCGTCCTGGACGCGCTGCACGGCCCGGGGCCGCTGACGGTGCGGCTGGCGTCGGGCGAGGAGCGCACCTTCTCCTCCGGCGCGGACTACGTGGCCGAGGCGGCGTCGCCGGCCGGCGCCGAGCTCCGCGGCGCCCAGTTCATCGTGCCGGCCGAAGCCTTCCCCTGCGAGGTGGTTGCCGACATCCTGGAGATCGACTTCGCGCAGCGGACCTACCTGGTGCTGCCCGGCGGCGAGACGGTGCCCTACATCCGGTACATGGACCAGCACGAGGCCGGCGTCGTCTCGCACTACCCAGAGCACGGCGTCGTGCCCCCACTGCTCCACCACCTCCAGCACGACAAGCAGGACACCGGCGCCGTAAGCTACCCGGGCAGCAACCCCTACCAGCACCAGCCGCTCTACCACAAGCAGCCCGCCGTCTACGACTGGCTCACCCCCTTCGCCGCGGACGTGCCCCAGGACCAGCTTCAGGTTTGCAGAGCGTTTCCGATATCGGCTGCTTGGAACGTGTCTTTTTATGGCTTAAACATCTCCTAGCTCCTTCACCAAATCCTTCTTTTCTCCCCCCGGCAGGTGGCGCTGGGTGGCACGCAACGGTTAAGCATGAAGGTGCACGACGCCGTCCTGGAAAGTTACGAATCCGAGAAGCCCATCAACGTGGACCTGGCGTCGGGGAAGCACGTGACCGTGAAGACGTACGACGAGCTCATCTCCAAACAGGTGGACCCGCGCTACATCTGCGCCCAGGTGTCCCTCGCGGGTGGCGTCAAGGTGCCTATCGCGACCTACCGCGCCGTCGTGGACGCCCACAAGCACAAGGGCGTCTATGTCGTGGACCCCGACGACCACCGGATGCTTTACTCGGAGTACATAGAGCAGCGCAAAGTGGCAAAGAAGGCCAAGAAAGACAAGAAGAAGCACGAATAAAATGGCTGGAAGAGGTGGTGTGGGACAGAACTATTTTTTTAAAAAAGACATCGCAAATTGAGACTTGAAACACCTGACTTGAAGACTAATAAAACGGAGCTTCAGTCGTAAGGTCGCCTGTGGGGAAGGAGGGTAGGCCACCCGCCCAACTCCTAAACGCCTGCGAACTCAGAGTAGGCAGACCCGTCACACACCAGAGACCGCTGGGTTGCCCACCCAACAGGCGCTTATTGTGAGAGAAAAGGACGCTAAAGTCTTACTAGTACTGTTTCGAATCATTGTCTTGATTCAAAATATGTTTTGTTATCACATCTTCAAACTGCAAACTGAATGTTGCGGCATTTCTTGAAAGATAAGCTAAATGAGGAAAACAAATAGAACTCTGTTAAGAATTTATTTACATTTTTAATGTACATACTTCAGAGTTATTTTTGTTTAACTATGTACCTGTCTGTAAAAAATATCATTAAAACTAATTTATTGTCCACTGTCCTTCGATTTTCCTGGCCTCAGTTCGATTGGCGGTTGCGAATGTTGTCCGCCGCAGTGTGGGCTTGACTGGATGCGGTCATGTGCGGTGACCATACGGTTGGCCCACGCGGTGACCTGGACGCAGCGTGGTGCTGAGGGGCACCGGCGAGGGCGGGGTAGGACCCGGCGCTAGGGGCGGGCTTCCACGCGGGGTTCGGGGGCGGCGGCCGTGGCGTGGAGGAGTCGGCCAACGGCGGCCTTTGATCCCGATCTGGTGACCGAGATTCTTCCGGACTTCCAGTCGGGGAGGTGACATTGGTCTCGCGAGCCCGGGGCGGCGGGGTCGTCGTCGGCGACCTGGACGTGACGGCTGGCGACCACACGTGCGGTGTGCCGTGGTGCCGGCTGGGCACCAGGCCCTTGGGGAACAGCGCGCGCAGCCATGCGGTCATTTCGGCGCGCCCGGCGAGCTCGTGAAGGGCGCGGGTCGTGCCGTCGGGAAGCTCCAGGATCGCCCTGGTGCGGCCGGGGTTCTGGGCGCTGCGCACCACCTGGCAGTACGTCGTGGCGGGGACGGTCGCGTGGGCCGACACACGCACCTGCACGGGGGACTTCCGGGCGGACCGCTCGAACTCGCCGAAGTCGGAGCTGGCAATGCGCGCACCCGACGGTGAGAGCACGTTCCTCCAGGCGCCCTGCAGGTAGTGCTCCAGGATGAGGCGGTAGTCGCGCACCGGGACTCGGGTGCGGTCGTCAAGGATCACGATGCCTATGGGCCGTGCGAGGTTGGGGTTCTGCACCCAGGACGGCGGCGCGTTGCTGCGAGTGGGTCGCATGGGAGGCTCCTCATCGTGCTCGTTGTCGTGCTGCTCCCAGGACGGGTCCCAGAGCATCGGATGGTCCCAACCGTGGTGAGGGGTCGCCTGCTGGCCTTGGGGGTCGTGCTGGCCTTGGTGGTTGTACTGGTACTGGCCTGGGTCAGTGTGCTGGCCTTGGTGGTTGTACTGGCCTTGATGGTTGTGCTGGCCTTGGTGATGTCGCTGGTGGCCCTGGTGGCCCTGGTAACCTTGGTGCGCACGGTCGTGGGGCGCGGGCAGGGGCTGCTCCCATCCCGGTGTAGTGGGCGCGGGGGCGTTGCTCCACTCGTATTCTTCGGCGGCGCTTGGGTCCCATCCAGGTGTAGAAATCACTTGCTGTTGGTCAGGGATCGCGTCCTGGTGACCAGGGATATCCATTTGTGGGTGGGTTGGCATTGCTGGCTGCTGATATGGAATCACGGGCGGCTGTTGCATTTGATGGTAGTTTGGAAACACCCCATTGTAGTTATCGCTCACTTGCTGAGGGGGTGGCAAAACTGGGTACTGATGAGTTGGCGGCGCCGGCTGGTATGGGGGCGGAACTGGCGGTTGGTGGGGTGTCACTTGGTGGTAGGTTGGCGGCACTGGTTGCTGGTTCCATCCGGGCGACGACGGGCTGCCATAACCCGCGGGTCCCCAGGCGCCGCCATTCTGGTAGGGAGGCCAGGACGGCGGCGATCGCGGGTACGACGGGGAAGTCCAGTACCCCTGCTGCTCCTGCGCGGGGTACTGCTGCTGCCAGGCACAACCCTGGGGAGAACACAGAGAACAGCATTCTGATAAGAGCTGTCGGGCACTCAAAAGACTCAAAAGGACCGGAAGAAGAAGAAGAAGAAGAAGAAGAAGAAGAAGAAGAAGAAGAAGAAGAAGAAGAAGAAGAAGAAGAAGATGAAGAAGAAGAAGAAGAAGAAGAAGAAGAAGAAGAAGAAGAAGAAGAAACTTACCCCGCACACGATGATGGCGAGACAAAAACAAAACAATCCTTTCCCAGCAGGGTGGCAGAGTGGCGGCGTCGACGCCATGGTGCAGCAGCGGGGCTGGGCGGTCCGGTTGTGTTGCTCCAGGCCGAGCTAGGAGCCGTTTGCGGCAAGGCGAGCCCGGCCCGGGGGGCAGGCCCGGGGGCAGGCCCGGGGCCAGGGGCCCCCATTGTGCGCTGTGCTTACGGATGCTGAGTGGGCCGCGGGCGCAGGGAGAGATGCTCAAGTAAGCACTTGACCGAGAAGGGGGTGAGGCAGGCGCAGCTGCGCCGCAGCGGCAGCGAGGGGTCGCGACACGTACGGGAAGTGGCACCACGGATTCGTCCTATTAGGCGTCATGTTAAGGACCTGAGACCTGAGGTGAAGTGGTTAGCGCGTCGTGTTCATAAAAATCAGTTTTAATTTCTTTAGAGCTTTTTTTTTACATTAAAAATTTGTCTGCAGTTTAAAACTACTATCGGCAAATAATCGGTCATGAAGAGGGGTTGGGGTGGGGGTGAGGTCGTCCACACGTGGAAAGACAATGGGCGGAACAGCGACACGGTCGGGCGACGTCTCATTGTGCTCGAGATTTGAACGCAGATTTGGACGCACGCCACACGCGTCCCCCAAATCGTGCAGACGACACCTAAACACGGCCCCAGGCGGGCGCACTTTGAGATTTAAACATGGCAATTTGAAGTCGAGGTTTGACTCGCCCACAATAAGTATGACACTGGTGGTGGGCGGACGTTTAGTTACTATACGCGCGCGTGCAGCCATGACAAGGATCGTCGCCGTGGCGGGAGCGCTCGCGCTGCTGCTGTGGCTGCAGGTAAGGACGACGAGGACCATTGTTTCAGGACTCGAGTGGACATAAAGAGACCCAGGAGAGTGTCTTTTTTTTCATGAATATTTTAGAGAGAAGTTCAAAGAAACCAACAATTTTCTGAGACAGGTACAGCGGTTCGGTTTTCGATATACAGGATGGTCCATCCGCGCCCTTCTCTTTTCTGGTTATACTGTACCGGATGCAAGTGTGCGTGCGGCACCAAGGCGCCTTTGCCTTCTGCGAGTATGCAACCCGTCCGCACGTCTGCATACGGGGCAGTATAACCAGGAGAAAGAACCCCTCCCTGTATTTATTTCGTCATTCACCATTTGTCAAAATTAAAACTTGTCCCTTCCACTTTAAAACAAGTGCAGCTATCAAATCATGTAACACGCGTGAGAAGTGAACGTGTTTCAATTCAGTTGTTAAAATGTTGTAAATTAAAAGTGTGTTTGCCATCGTGAGGGCTTGGTGTGGCTAAAACGCGCCGCGTTTCTCACAGCGTATTTAGTTGGACCGTTGCAGACTGCACACACGTGCACATTAAAACACAATCGTTTCGCAACGTTTGCATTTGTTTAGGGCGACAATTTTGATGTAGGGACACCCCCATCGTATGATATTAAAGAGAGATGTTCCCGTGAAAGTTGAAGATTTGACCTGTTGTTCTAAATCGGAGCGTATCTGTTCATTAGCCCGCTGCCTGCCATGTGATCCGCGTGCTGCCCTCTGTGGAGGATCACGACTGCCACCCCGCGCCACAACCGTCCATGTTCGGGGGCGTCTACGGGGCCGGCGCCTACAGGGCAGGCGCCTACGGAGCCGGCGCCGGGGGCTACTACATGCCCGCCATCAGCTACGTCATGCCTCTGTTCGCCGCGCCGCCGCCGCCCATCGCACCCAGCGTCGAGGAGGCCATCCTGCAGCAGCTCGTCGACGCCGAGAAGGAGAGGTGCCGCGCCCAGGAGCACACGCTGACCACCGAGCACCCTCCGACCACGACGGAGCAGGCGCCCACCGCCGCGCACGCGCCCACCACCGAGCACGCGCCCACCACCGTGCACACGCCGACCACCGAGCACACGCCCACCACCGAACTCCCGCCGACCACCGAGCACCCAGCTACGACCACCGAGCTCCCTCAAGTGCACGTCGAGGTGCACAACCACAGCGTCACAGTGCACGAGCACGGTCACGGCGGAGGTGAGCACGAGGTCGTCGCGCACGAGCCGGAGGTGGTTCACGAGGAGTCGCACGAAGTTACCTACTACGACGAGAACGCCCACGACATCCCCGAGGACGAGCCCGAGGACGAGCCTGAGGACGACTATGAAGACGAGAGCGGGGAAGCCGATCATCGGAAGACGCACAGCACCACCAAACACCACCACGGTGAGCCCGAGGACTACGACGACTCCGAAGAGGACCACACTTCAACTTCCGGACACCACGACTTCATCGAGTACTACCGAATCCCGGCCTCCCACTTCCACGCCAAGACGACCAGGCGCGGAACCTCCAACCCGTACGCGCACTACGTCCGCAAGCACCTCCCGGTGGAGGAGTCGTCGTACTCCTCGAGAAGCAGGAAGACGACCAGGGGGCCCAAGCACAAGGAAACGGATGTAGAACAGCCACACCGTCAGACTCCGAGCAGAAGAAGGAAGTCGAAAACCACAACGGAAGAGGCGCACTCTGCCCCAAGCCACAAGACGTCGAAGAAGACTACCACGACGTCACCGAGGCGGTCCGCCGATGACCATGATCAGCATCAGCAAAGCTCAACAAAACGCCGAAAAGTTACCAAAATTACCAGAACACACACAACACACCATGAGCCCACCCACACGGAGGAACACACCCACACTGCACATCCAGATACAGGGAAGACAACCACAAGCACGAAGCAGCAGTCCGGTCACACGGTAAGGAAGACGGACCACAAGTACAACGTCACCCCCCAGCCACACC